AAAAACAGTTAGTTACCTACAAGGGAGTACCCATATGACTGTCAGCTGATTTCTCAACAGAAACTATGCAGGCCAGAAGGGAGAGGCAAGCAATATTCAAAGTGATGAATAGCAAAAACCTACAACGATGACTCTACCCAGCAAAGCCATCATTTAGAATTGAAGGACAGATAAAGAGCTTTCCAGACAAGAAAAAGCTAAAGGAGTTCATCACCACCAAACCAGTATTACAAGAAATGTTAAAGGGCCTTCTTTTAGAAGGAGAAAAAAATTTTTAAACTATGAAACTAAAATAGCAATAAATACATATTTATCAACAATGCAGGAGGCAGCCAATCAGTGATTCCCATCATTGATGTTGCTATCTCTGTCTCCCTCTTCCTGCCTCTCTGAAATTAATAAAAATATATAAAAATAAATGAATAAATTTAAATGGATGTTTGAACATCATCCTGTGCATCTAAAGGTTGCGGTTTGATTCATGGTCAGGCACATACCTAAGTTGCAGGTTCAATCCCCATTGTGGGCATGTACAGAAGACAACCAATTAATGTTTCTTTCTCTCTCCCTTCTTCTAAGCATGTCTTTGGGTGAAGATTAAAAAAAATAATAAAATAAAGACATACAGTGGCTGAAGGGATAACTAAACAAGATATGTGCTATCTACAAGAGGCCCACTTCAGTTCGAAAGATACACCCAGAGTGAAATAAAGGGGTGGAAAACGATATTTCATGAAAATTGGAACAAACAAATAGCTGGGGTAGCAATGCTTATACCAGACAAAATAGACTTTAAATAACAAGAAACAAAGAATGACCCAGCAATTCCACTTCTGGGTATTTATCCAAAGAAACCTAGAACACTAAACCAAAAACATTCATATGTCTGTTGCAGCATTATTTATAACAGGCAAGACATGGCAGCAGCCTGAGCGTCCACCAGCAGATGGATGACTGGATAACGAAGATGCGCTGCATATACACCATGAAACAGGACCCAGACATAACAGGAATGGAATCTTGCACCTGCAACAGCATGGATGGCCCTAGAGAGTATTGTGCTCAGTAAAATGGGTCAGAAAGAAGAAGACAAATGCCATATGATTTCACTTACATATGGAATCTAAAGAACAAGCAGAACAGAAACAGATTCATAGAAACAGAGCAGATATTGGTGTTGCCCGATGGGAGGGAGGAGTGGGGAGATGGGTGGAAAGGTGGAGGGGATTAGGACTACAGATTGGTAGCTGCAGAAGAGTCATGGGGATGTAAAGAACAACATAGAGAATATAGTCAATAACATTCTAATAACTGTGTATGGTGTCGAGTGGGCACTGGATTCATTGGGGTGATCACTTTGTAAGTTATGTAAGCATCTAATCACTGAGTTGTAGATATGATCCTAATATAATATTCCATATCCACTGTGATTGAAAAATTAAAAAGTATTAAAGTAAAGAAAATGCACCAAAAGTGAGGAGGGCTGCCCCTGCCGGTCTCTGACTGCTCTGGGAAGGCAGCCTGTGCATTCCTGTGTTGGCCCCAAGGATCAGCCTTCCTGTGAGAAGGGCTCCTGGTGGCTAACTGGGCTCAAATTGACCAGCCGAGCCCAGCAGTCATTGCTACACAGAGGCTCTTCTGTCAGCCCCGCTCAGGGAGGAGTTGGCACTGAGCTTCCCGCCTGCTTGCATTGCGCTGCAGCAGCTGAGCCCCCTTATGAAGTAGTGGTAGTCCATGGGATTGTATTTCACCAGCAGGAGACCTTCCTGGCCCAATCAGAGCCACACAGCTATTTCCTCATTAGCATCTTCACTAACTAAGTAGAGTGGTACATTCTGACCTGGACAGTGCTTTTTGCACTGTGAGATTTGGAGTCCTCATTTGCATGAGGATGGACCAATCAGGGACCAGGGGTGGGACTTCTCTCTCTATAAGTCAGCTCTCCTCTGGTTGGGAGAGTGCACTTTCTCTTTACACCAAGACTGCAAACTGCATTTTCACTGGAA